GGTTGAGTAAAAGCAGGAAACTATCTGATATTTCCTTACGATGAGGCCAGATGACAAAATAGTCATCCATGTATCTAACCAACAATTCGGGTGTTAGTAGGAAGTGTTCCTCCAATTTTTTCATATAATTGTTCGATAAGATAAGAGACAGGCAAGATCCCATCGCTAATCCTTGCGTTTGTTCATATAACTTACCATCAAAGGTAAAATGTGGTATTCATGTATAGATTAATAAGTCTAATAATTAAAATTACACTTCTCTTGCATTTCCATCGTGAACCTAATGTTCCTTTCACGCTGGTTGAGTGAAAGCAGGAAACTATCTGATCTTTCCTTACGATGAGGCCAGATGACAAAATAGTCATCTTTGTATCTAACCAACAATTAGGAGGAAGTGTTTCTTCAGTCTTGTCATATAATTGTTTGCCAAGATAGAAGCCAGGCAAGATCTCATCGCTAGTCCTTGTGCTTGTTCATAAACTTAACATCGAAGGTAAAATATGTGGTAATCATGGATAGGTTAATAAGTATAATAATGAAAGCTATACTCAGCCTTATTCCATGTGTTATCTCTGGATGCTCCTCCAGAGTTTGAATAGTTTCTTGAACAGGAATGTTTATGTACATAGACACAACATCAAAACTTACTAGCCTATCATCTTATGAAAGTGTCTGCTGATCAAGCAATTTCAAAAGGTTATTCGAATTTTTAACTGAATATAGCCAAAAAGCTTATGCATAAAAAGCATACGATTTTATGCATCACGCTTTTTTTATTATTTACAATTAATCTTACAGTGACACTCACCTTGTAAACCTTAGGAAGACCGTAACCCTTAGGGCCCAATGCATCTATCTGGAGTAGTGAGTTCATTTTCCACTTCTCCATTTCACCATTATTTACGCATAATATAAGGGCATCCTTTAGCCTATTCTTAAGTCTTTCTGATGGATCCTTCAGTAAAGGCATTGTCATTGTCATTTAAATGAACTAGCATTTTCTCTATATAACTTGACTGCTCAACCTTTGCCAGCTCTCATTACGATTGCATTATTACCACAGAGATATCTAGAAACCCTATAAGATGACAATCTTTCTTTGGCGGTATTATATGGTCAAACTGAGGGATCACCTCCAGTTCAGTACTATTGCTTACCTCTTCAGGTAATCTATCAGATAAGCCAATTATTTCAACAACTATTTCCAGAGAATGATTTACCTCATTTTGAAGACCAAAATTCAGTCCTCTTTCCAATAAAAGCACTACACTCTCATCCAGATTTGTACTAGATAAAATGATTACCTTATCCTTCCCTACTTTGTTACAACCAAGTTAGTAAGATATATCTTAGGCTCAAAATTTATTGACCTTATTCTAATTCCTAAATTCCGGAGCTTCCAATCATGTATCCGATGCGTCGTTTTGTCAGTCGCCTCTCCTAATCCGTCAGTCCTGCCTTGTAACTTAATGAAATCTACATCCTTCAATATATCAGAAAGGAATTGCCTAAGCCTAGTTTTGTTTATAATTAGTTCATGCAGTTTGTTAATGCTTCCCTTGAGGCTAATTTTAACCAAACCACACGATATCTGATCAAGTTCCATATTTGTGGACGTCGGTAGATTAAAACGTCCACCGAGTAAACAACACATAGAAACAACATTATAAGAAATACATATTTTAAAAATCTAATTCTATTTACTTGCTGGGATATAGTTGTCTTGGTTATAGTGTAGCGAGAAGACATTAAACAAGAAGTCGAACGATACCTACATTGTAGATATGAAAAGAAGCTGGATTTCGATTAATCTCCTGAGATAACATTATTGAGGAGACTTTCATTTCGTATGAAAGTGCATAAAGAAGAGATTCGTAGGTCGATCTCACCAGAAGAGGACGGATGAATCCCGTTGTACTGCAACCGTTTTGCTTTTATAGGACGTTCAGTTTGGCGCATTCTACGAGACTTCCTCCCTTGTTTTGGATGAAAACGGGCTGAGCTTTCGTCCATCATATGATGGAAATTCTTGGAGCTGGTTCTCATTCTTGTAAAATTCTCAAGTTTAGTGTTCGGGTAGGAAATTCAAGCTTCAGTCTGCAATATACAGACCACAAAATTTTAATGCTAGTGGGTTATAGGCCAGCTGTGACTGCTAAGGCGAGGTGACAATATTTACAATGTTCTTTTCCTCATCTACTCATTTTATGCTGAATAATATGTCTGATTCTACTAGCTAAAGGAACTATCAATCATTGGTAATATTATATCTATAAAGTATGAGCATATCTACCTTTAAACTCACATTTTTCCAACGAATAGTGTCTTCATACACAATAAAACTAGTGACAAGTGCAACAGCAGGATAAAAAATGTTCGATTCTAGTCTCCTATTTAATTTTACTAAGTTAACACATTTTTGCTTAATATATATTTATTTACCATAATATTCTTATTTGATTATCTTTGTGATCTGAATTGGATAAGCCTCCTTATAACCAGATTGTATAGCCATACTGTGGATATGACCACCAAATATCGGTTGTCAAGTAGAACAACAAAGGAAATCGATGAGATAATGAATAACAAGAGGTATCTCCAGATTGTACGTCCATCGTACTCGGCATTTGCTGTTTGCTCCGACTTGGCCAATATCCGAAATACGAAGAACTATCGGTTTGAAAAACAAAACAAATACAAAAGTGATAATGAACAATTTATATAAGAGCATTAGCCTTATGTGTCTGGGTCTCAGCTAACAGAAGATCAACTCTCCTAGCAACTATTCGGTCGAGTAATAACTCGATTCGCTTAAAGCCTCATTGAATTCCACCTTGATTTTCCTCCCAAAAAACTTTCCTTTTCAAGATTTATTTCAGTTTCGATAGCCAACAGAATTTGAAATCGGATCATGTGACTAAGGCGGCAAAGTAACCATCAGGAAATTCAGCCACTTAGTGTCAGTTGATCGTAGAGCATAGATGACTTTAAAGTAAGACAAATTAGCTCCTGACTCGGTTTGTTGTCGATAAAATAGGATTGTAATTTCCTTCCAGAAGTCGAAGCTGAGACCTACCGGAATAAACAAGCTTATTTGGAAGTTAGTAGTATGATGATTTCTTAACAATTCATGTATTTACTTCAAATTAAAATAAAACTGCATCACCGGCATACTAAAGTTCTTATTAAGGGCATACTAAAAAAATTTGAAAATTTCTGATATAGCATATACCAATTATTGACCTGCAACTCAAGTAAATAATGTATAATCATGTCAGGGCATTCTGTTTTTTTTACGAGCAGGATTTTATACTATAGTCGAGACAAAATATCGTTTATTATCACTTAAATTGTATAAATATTATGACAAATAACGAATAAACTTAAAATAAATACATTTACTCCATTTTGTGAAACTCCCAAATAGGCTGAAAAAAAGGGCTCAAGACAAGAGACTAATCTGAAAATGGAAATTTCGGAAATAAATCTCTTGTCTAACTCTATAAGCAAGTTTTCTCTAAATTAAATTACAATTTAATTCGGCTGAGATAGCAAGGAAAATCAAAAAGTCTTCACGAAAAGTCAGAATTAGCGGAACACATTGTACAGATTGGACACAAGATCAATATGCAGGCAACTGAAAGAATGACCTCATACGGTAAAGGCACATGGAGGTGGAAGATTAGGGTAGGTCATTGACACACTTGAGGAAAAAATTTAATTAATAGGAGATTAGAAGAATACAGAGTTAGCGATAACTTTGCCTATTGCCCAAGCAAACTTGGGGAAAAGAAGAATACAACAAGACTAGCAATAAGGAGATGCCTGAATCAAGGATCTATTGCTGATCGGAGGAAAAGAGATCGAGATGAGAAAGGAAGGAGGAATTCCAGACAGCAAGCGAAGATATTCTCAATGAGTGAAGTCTATCCGAAGAAGCCATTACAACTTTGGGGGTCTGGCGGTCACGGAATTATGAAGATAGATAAGCACAAGCATCACAAAAATTCAGCATTATGGCAAAAATATACAATAAATCTACTTGCGATACAGCAGGCGATCAGGGATAGGCGTCAAAAATGTGCTTAGGTTACTTGTGTTTAGTCAAAGAGACGACCCGTGAAAGCAATGCCTGATATCTGCAAGCATGGAAATCAGAGCCTAGGCGCTATTCTCGGTGAGGCAGCAGTTTACGTGCTTCTTAGGCCTTGAGAAATAGCGCCTGGAGTAAAACGCACGCTGGGACTGAAATCGTGTGAAATCAGTCAACTAGAAAGCTAAGGAACGGATCTATGGGACCAGGAGGGAGATTCGGATAGGAGGCCCGAGCCGGATAATCAGATCGTAAGTGAGGGGGTCAGGGTAAATAGCAAGTGTGATTATGTAATACTAAATTTACTAAAAAAAGCGTACATATTTTGACGTGTGGAGTGTAAATAAGTCAGAAGTTGTGATAGGGCAGGAGTGGGATAAGAGGGTAAGAAGTAGAAAGATGGACCAGGATAGAACGTTGGTCGAAGGAAGGAACGGAAAATGGAGATCATGGCCATGCAGACTATGCCCCTGTCCAGAATGAGTTGTCAAGGCGAATTTTAAACGGATCTTAACGGACTTGTCTCCTGCCTTTTATGTACGCTGACTTGTCTTTCATTTCTACCACTGTCTATGCTCCATAATCTATCTCAGCCGAATACAAGTTTTGACAAGCGATGAATTTATGAAGTATTAATTCTCACATTAGCTCCTTGTTTTAATTGATGAATTCAAACTTCATGATTCTGCCGTTGTTAAATTTCATCATATGATTGCCGAATCATTTTCGCCATGATCGAATGAGACCGCCTAAAAGATATCTTTGGATAGAATGTTCCGGTAAAGTCAACCAATGAATCCACCTCCAACTTGTGGTTGAATCATTCTCCTAACCTTTACTTAAAATGTAAGTGAACTCAATGGGTGTAAAGCTTAAGGTTTCCTTAAAGCTCAACTTTACCTGAAATCTACTGATAAACAATAGCCAATCTGTCGGTACGCACCCGTTCCTTTACGTTTTCATAGGTGTAATATCGCTGTTCTGCCTTGCAGATTGCATAGTACAACTTTTCTTGACTGGCTGCGGCGGGTGTGAGGAAACTAGCCTGACCAACACCACTCTGCCTGATGCTGCTTTGCTCAGCGCTGATGTTGTCTTGGCCAGGCCCATCGCTCCACTCGGTCACTGTCTTCATTCCCCCGGCAACTGCTGCATCCAGCCGGCCCGGTTTGATTAGCCAGTAGGTGAAGTTGACCTTCGAAGCAGGTCGACTGAACACGGAACAGGTGACAAGAAAATTGGACTCAAGGATGTGCCATCTCCAGGCTGGATCATCAAGTGATGAGGGCGGTGGTGGTGTGATCACCAACTCTTTGAGCTCAATGAATAAACAGAGTTTACCCGTCTCCACTGAACTTGACAACATACCCTCAAGACTGACGTTGAAGAGGCCGGCAACCTCGGCTTCTCCGACGTTGGCTGGAAGGTCTACAGATGTCGGACGAACTCTACACTGTAGAATCACAGCATCATGACTTTTGGTGACTTGTAGAGTGTAGGGTAGAGTCTGTACAAGTCGTGAAATCGAGTCATCGTTGGTGTCAGTCTCTATTTCGTCATGGTAGGTCATTTCTACACGTCTGACTGGCTCTTCAGGCTTTGGTGAGGCAATCAAAAGCTCAACAATTGCCTTCACATGGCCTGACGGAGTCTGAGCTGAACAGGCCAAACGCAATCGCGAGAATCGACAGTAGACATTTACAACTTCACCTTCCATTAAACATCGACCAGCCACGATACCTCCGGTGGAGTTGGTGATGGCGAGTTGTGTCGCCTGAATTCCGGCCAACAGACAGACTGGAGCCTGACTCAGCTGTACTATCCAGAGGCTGAAGTTTCTGTCAGCTGAGTGTGTCGATGTTGACTAGTTGGGAGGAAATGTTAAAATAATATAAGCACCGTTAACATATACTTAATGATAGAAAAAAATCAATTAATACCATTAATTCATTAAAAGAATAAAGATTTAACTAAAAAAATATGCAGCATACTATTGGGTTAAACATATTACTAGATAACCCCAAGACTAAGAAATTAACAACTTATTTTCGTATTGAGTAGGTTTAAGATCAACTACCTGTATCATTGTGGGGAAATTTAGCCATCAGTCTTTCATTACCTTATGCGATCTATGGTGAATACAGCTCTTAGTTTAGTTATTCTACTTTTCAGACAGTACTTATTATTATCCAAAGGATTTATGGAGCAAATTAGACTTCATTCTATGAAGCATAAATAGAAATTAAAGTATTCCATCACATAATTATACAAAATAGCAACTTGATGGCATTTGTGGATCAATCCAATCAGAAAACGTCGGCTGATTCCAGTTGTGCTGAAGCCCCAATTTGGCCTGAATACAACCTTAAGGCTGACGAAGTTCATGGGATGTTCTCTCTTGTCTTGGGTGGAAATGGCATGAGTTTACTTCTGTCATGTCAATTGAAGTTAATTCTTGCAAAAGCCTCAACTATCAATCATAATATAATATAGATTTTATAGATTTTTCCCAAAATCATAAAAGTCGACCTCATGTTTACATTGAATTTATCGCGAGTCGAACAAGGGTATGTGAGCACCTGTTAGGGAGATGGGCTATGTCAAATTCAAGGAAACATCAGGACTACTCATATAATTTTGTAAAAATTCAGCCAAGGGTGACTAGAAATTTCCTTCAAGAGTTATCGGCAATTTAAAAAGGCTACTTATTTATAAATAAGAGTACAAGAAGTTAAAACATACGTGAATTGTAGACACATGGAGCAACTGGGTTTCAATGTATCCGATGGGATAAAATTATTATGGAGACTTTAATCTTGTATGCAACTTCTTGCTTTCGAAAGCTACTCCTGATTGCTGGCAGTTTTATTATACCAAGATTTTCAGTTTAACGCAGTCCACGAGTAGAATTTTGCATATAATACGTACATACTAAATTATAACATACGAAAACCAAGAAACTCAACTCTTGTTATAGATATAGTTATCGTGCAGGAAGAAAATAAATTGTCTTCTTGATTTGCTATTAAATTAAAGCATTTGCAAGAATCACCTCCATCGTCAACCTGAACGCTAAATAGATAACTAGAGAAAATGAACACTATGTTTAACGAGATACTAGGTCTCTGGATGTAGATATTCTGACCAAGAAACACATTACACTTTGAATTTTTCTGAATGATAACGCTTTCATGCTTCAAAAGCTTCACACAAATTAAAGCCAATCTGCGAGTTCTGGAAGTTTTCAACAAAGCATTTTCTTGAGTACGTTATGTTAGTAGATGAGTGGAGGAAAGGAAGTGGGGATTTGCTAGTGAGCTTTGATATACTATCAAAGTTTATCCTTGCTGTAGTGTTTATACTGAATTTTAGGTCGCCTAATTCAAGAAACCCAATTTTTTTCTAACTTATTGGTTTGATACAACAATGACCACTTTGCTATTAGGCAAAACAGCGACGGGAATCTGGATACTTTCCTAAAATTAAATGAATATAATATATATATATATATATATATATATA